GCTCTTATACATCATTTAAGTAAAATGTCAGGAAGATCAATAGTTTTGTAGTTTGAATTTTAGTGACGTCGTGTGAAAACCAGCTATAGCATAGAGCTTCTTGTGAAAAACTCAGAGAACACAATCATTTTCCAGCTTCGAGCTGGATTGTACAGTCAAACCAACCAGAAGTAATATTTGCTTGGTGGTACTCTATCACAACCTGCTAGCAATCCAAATTTGTTAAACATGTTAAAATTGCTCGCGTAGGCCTCCACTCGAGGTGTAAGTCAAATAAACAAATTGTGTGATATAGTTCTAACCGTAAGTTCTAAGGAAGTTGCTCTTCTGTACCAAACTGCAGCAAACTTGCTGAAAGGTACAGTTTCCATTCCTACGAGCTGCAATCATCATCTTCCCCGAATGAGCTGTTTGGTGAGTGTGACCGAAGTTACATTTGTCAAGGTAGCAAAGTCGATCGAGTTAATGTAAATGAACCCCTACGGTTTCCTGCTATACATAAACTCAAAATTTACGAGAGATCAAGAATTGCGCGCAAGCTTATTCTTTTGTCTGCGGAGCCTCAGAAGAAATAAAAACCTCTAAAGTTTGATGAAACATCCACTAAAAACACGTTTGCGACAAAAACGTCTAGTCACATGACCAAAATAATTGATACGCCAAAATGCTCCCTGATTAGTTTTTTCAAAAGTCATAAGGTTCGACCACTATAGCTGGAATATTATTTAAGAGTGATTTTCTGAGAGTGTCGAGAATCGGAAGACAGTCACGAAAAATCGATTTTTCTTTTATTTCGCCAAAACATACCTTTGGGTGAACTTATTCATGGAAAAATAGTTTAAAGTTCCAACGATTTATTTTACGGCCAAAATTTAAGAAAGTTCGAAATTTGCATATAATGGCGCTTTTCGCGGCTTAAAATGTTCAGAATTTCACACTTCTTTACGAAATCAGCGGGGGCGTAAAAACAATCCTACGAGTACAAAACTTGGCACAAATATTATTTC